GGATGGACTTTTTCCAGATATTAAAGTTCAGAGGAGATGAGCAGTGTGTGTCATGGGAAACATTTGGACTCAGTAAATAAGGAAGCTAACAGAAGCTAATTAAAGCCAAGCTGGAGGGGGCAGAGTCCATAAGATTCTTGGGCAACTTTCCTGGGAAATACAGCTGTTTGGTGATGCTAGTTCTGTGGATCTTTGTAGCCTTCACAACAAGCAAAGCCACATACAACAGTGGTCCTCTTGCTTCTTAACAACAACAATAACAAGAAATGGTTGTGGAGAGCAGTTGATAATTAATTAGCCACGTTGAAAGGTTCAGGTAATCCAATTTTTAAATGAAGGTAGGCTCAGAATGCTAAGTTTTTAAACCTGAAAGCTTATCTTGAGGGCAACATGGTGGTATGGAAAGAGACCTGGGACGAAAGTTAGAAGATCGTGGGGTCCAAGGAAAAATGTGCATTATTCAAAAAGAACAGAATAAATAAAAGAGGTGGTGGAGTAGTATTGTATATAAAAAAGATATACTCATGTGAATAAATGCAGGAACCCAAGGAAAGGAGCAGGTAACATGGCAGAGAACATGTGAGTAAAGAATAGTGGAAGAAACACTATAAGAAATATTCTTATTTGTATGCTATATGTATGCTACAGAGTATGCTGTAGACCACATAGCCAGAAGGGAGAAATAAATTATGAGTTAAGGAAAATAATCACAAATCTGGCATGGAGGCGTGAGGCAGGAGTGATAGAGGCCGTGGTGTAGCTGGATCTCTACCAAATGGAGAATAGCTCTTATAAATTCTACTTAACTTAATGATTTTAAAATTTTTTTTAATTTTTATTCTTTATTTTTATTTTTTATTTATTTTTTATTTAAATTTTTAAAATTTTTAAAAATATTATTTAAACATTTTTTCTTTAAATTTAAATATTTAATTTTTAATTTTAAAATTTTAATTTAAATTAATTTAATTAATTTAATTTTTAAATTAAATTTAATTAATTTAAATTAAATTATTAATTACATTAATTATAAAAATATTGAAACAACAATTTAAAAAATTAATTAAGTTAAAAATAGATTAAAATTAATTAAATTAATTTAATTTAATAATTAAATAAAATTAATTTAATAATTAAATAATTAAAAAATATTTAAATTTAAATATTTATTTTTATTCTTTAAAAGGCTAAGGAAACAATGGGGGGACCTGATATTCTAGATGTGATTCTTTTTTTTTTTTGGCTAGGCAATGGGGTTCAGTGACTTGCCCAGGGTCACACAGCTAGGAAGTGTCAAGTGTCAGAGGACGGATTTGAACTCAGGTCCTCCTGACTCCAGAGCTGGTGCTCTATCTACTGCATCACCTAGCTGCCCCTCTGGATGTGATTCTGATCAATGAGAAGGAATTGGTTGCTTGAAGTAAAAGAATGGGAATTTGAGAGAAAAGTTGAGCATATTCTGACACCCACACTAGATTCTGCAAGAGCAGTTTTTTTAAGAGTTCAAAGATAAGCAGGACCCACTGTTCTAAACTTCTAAAGAAGCTGGGACAAAGAATAAATGTATGAAAAAGCATTTCTTAAATAGTTATTAAGTATCAGGCCCTGGGCCAAGCACTAGGGATAAAAACAAAAAAAAAAGACAGCTCCTGACCTCAGAGAGCTTCATTCTGAAAAGGGACAATAGCATGTAAAGGAATGGTAGCTAGGAATATTTTTTAGAGGTGGTGAGTGGAGTCATAGAGATGTGATTGACATGGCCTTTCTAGGAACTGGTAGTGTTGATTTATTGCCTGGAGAAGGGCGAGTGACTTGTTGCTAGGGATTGTGGGGGGATGGTATGCAGAAGGCACACGCGGAGGTGTCTAGGGAGTAACAGTGGGGCTGGGTCAGGCTACTTCTGAACAATTTTCACCCATGAGAGTGCTTGGCTTTGGGGCAAGCCCTGGAGACAGTGTTATCGAGTGGCACTTTCTGGTCAGGAGCTGGCTACCAAGGTTCTTTCTGACTCAACTGAGTCTGTGAGCTTATGACGAGGTCAACGCTTAGAGGTCACATCCCAATCTAATCTGACGGGGGAGAAATTCCTTCCTTCTGAGGCATCTGAGAAGGCTTCATGGAGGGGTGACTTTCTTTGTTTACCTTCGGGAAAAGGTGAAATGTCTCCAAAACGTGGCCAGTTGTTAGTATAATAGATGACCTTGGCAATGCCCAAACTAAAATATAACCGAAGGACTTTGAGTCAAGTAGGTGTCATAGTGGGTGGAGAGCCAGGCTCACAATTAGAAAGATCTGAGGTCAAATCTCGACTCAAATACTAGCTGCATGACACTGGTTAAGTCACTTAATTTCTCTCAACCACAAATTCCTCATCTGCAAAATGGGGATAATAATAATAATAATAGTGTGCATTTCACAGGGTTGTGAGGATCAAATGAGATAATATGTGTAAAATGCTTCATAAACCTCAAAGTACTATAGAGATGACAGTGATACTACATTAGTATTATCATTTATTGTTGCTGTTATTTCTTCTTCTTCTCCTCCTCCTCCTCCTCCTCCTCCTCCTCCTCCTCTTCCCTCCCCCCAGTGGATTCCTCTGAGATGCCTATAGGGTCATATAGCCAACTTGAGAGTTGCCACCATCTCTCCCACTCATGGCCTCTCTTGAGCAAGATTAGTTTTTGTCATTAGGACAGAGCCAGTTAGAAATCTCCCAAAGAAGACATAACTATTTCCCACTTCCTGAGAATCTATTTCTCTCCATCATGTCCTGGAGAAAGAATGAACACACAATGACCTGTTGCCTGCTCTGATGTGGAGACTCAGGATACCGGACTGACCTATCCATCATTCTGTGGCCCCATTTATCTCAGAATCAGGGAATTTCAGAGGCCTTTCCTAAAGCTGGAACCTCTGCCCCTGACAAACATGCCTCCATAAGCTTCCCAAGACGCAGAGCCATTCAAATGGGGATGGCCTGCCTCAGTAGGTGATGCTTTCATTACCTCTCAGTGGAAGTCAGTAGGCCAATGCGGGATGAACAGGGGCTTCCCAGGCAGGTATGGGTGGTTTGGACAGGATGGCCTCTAAGACCCTCTGAGCTTCCGTGATAGATGAGACAGCTGATTACAAGAATCTTGGAGTTAGAATGGACCTCAGAAGCTGGGCTTGATCAAGATGGCCTTGGAGGATGCTTCCTGCTCTTAGCTTCTGTGAGACATTTGCTGGTGAAAAATGGACCACCCTGTACTAGGGAGATGAAATACTGCCCTTCCCCTCCTGAAGTGATTTCCATGTAACCACAGGCCCCGGTCTAATTACACAAGGCTTTCCTTGTTCACCGCAGACTCACTTTCCACATCCCTTCTCCAGATTCGGCTGGGGATGGATTCTGTGTCCCACCCTATCATTGTTCTGATCCAATCCTGGTCTACGAGACAGGCCAGAGATCTGGGACAGGGTCACCGAGACCGACTGTCGCGTTCCCTGATAGGAAATGCCGTCGGAGGCCGTACTGTTGCCTCGCCGGGCTTACCTCTGAATTCCCAACCCTTCACCCTGAGTTCACAGCTGGCTGGCCTTTGTGCTGGCTGACTTGTAGTGAGAATCACTCCTCTAGAGCAGCATATGAAAGCAATTAGCAGAGTGGGGAAAGGCTCCTTCCCCGACTGAGCGGGAACAGTGCAAAGTAAAGTACGAGGTCCCCTGTCCCTCCCTCCTCTGATCCAGGCAGTTGACAAGCATGGACGGAGGGAGTGCCTCCTTTGTGCCAGGCTATGTGCTAGGCGCTAGGCATGCAAAGACAAGTTGAAGTCAGTTGCTGTCTTCCAAGGGTTTACATTCTGCTGAGAAGAGAACATAACCTATCAACATACAAGTGTGCAGTAATTGTGTGAGGAGAGAGTGAGCGCCTGGTTATTACCATCAACAAACACTTATTAAGCATCTGCTGTGTGACAGGCACAGTGCTGGGTGCTGGGATTACAAAGAAAAAGCAAATGAAGCTCTGCCCTCCTGGGGCTTCCATTCTAATGGTGAAGACAGCGTGCAAACAGCCCTGAATAAATGGAAGGTTGTCTTGGAGGGAAAGGCGCCAGTGGCTGAAGGGCTCAGGCAGGGCTTCTCCTGAGGGGTTGGCGCCGGGGTTGAACAGAGAGACTCCAAGAAGACGACCTAAGGAGGGTTCCATTTTCAACACGGAGGTAGTCTTGGCAAAGGCACGAAGAGGATTGTTTACGTAAGAGCAATGTGATGCAAAAGATACTGGCCAAAGTTAAAAGGGTCCTTTCATAAAGAAGTGTCAGGACCGATTTTCCGTGCTAGGATTTAAATGTGTGGATGGGAACTCAAACGCACATTTTAATGATAGGCAATAATCATTAACAAAAGGCAAAAGAGCTTGCTTCAAACAGAAACAATCAGGGATGGAGACTGGAGTGTCAACAGGACTTTGGCAGTATGCTTTGCAAATTGTAAAAAGAGTAAATGAATGTCATTTCGAATTTTTCTCATGTTATTGCTGATTGCTGCTCCCTCTTGCTTATTCAGGGACTAGCTTTCCAGTCTCTTTGGTTCTGTGCTGCCTTCTCCACTATGATTTGGCTATTTTGGAAGAAAGGGAAAGAAAAAGAACTGAAATTCAGGCCAGACCATCTTTTTGAAACTTCCAGTGAAAGATTTCGAGAAGGGGGAGGGTGATGTGGTTTATCTGTGAATTCTAATCAACCAGGCCATCCCTTCTTGCCAAGAATAATTGTGTACTGGCTCAGCATAGGTTACAAGCACATGGACTTCCTTGGAGTCCAAAGCATTGGAGAAGAATGGTTAACATAGCACGTGGCTCCTGCTGACTTCTTGCTGTGTTCTATCTATGGCTCTCCCCCGTTGACTCCCCCTAAGCTTGGCTGGTTGGTTCCTCACCTACCCAAGGAATGGTTAATGTTTGTAACCTCATCTTCTCCTAAGGTCTTTACATGTTGTTTTTCTTTTCTTTTCAGGTTGGTCAAGAGAAAGGAAACTGCTCTTTTCAAAAGAATCCAACCCCATGCATTATCCCTCAAGAACAGGAAAACATTTTTCACACAATATTTGCATTTTTCACCAAGTCTGGACGAAAAGGACTGGTAAGGCTGTGGGGCTCACTTGTGTGAGTGGGCATTCCTTCCATGGCCCTCCTGGGGAAAGCATGTCAAAGAGAAAAGACCCATCTTCTGGATGAGGATGTAGGACTGTGTGTGCCTGGGTGTTATTACCATATTAGCCTTTGCAGCGATTGAATTACAAAGATTTAAGGATTATGAATAAATCGCATTTGTCAGTATGAACCTTAAATTGAAGCACTCTATTTAGATTCAGGAAATCTCATGGCTCCAGGGAGCCAATAATCCTTTTAACACACCAGACAGAAACAAGGAATGCTTTTTACAACTTAGTTCCAATCTTAGTCACAATTGGACAGAAATATTGGTGACTGACTAGAAAAGAATCCCCAAAGCCACTTTTTCCTTTTTTTTCTGGTATTTCTTCTTCCTATGGGAAATTGCTCACTACCCCCTTTTAAAAACATAAAATTTCATTGATTTTTATTGATCTTTTTTATTTTTACACTACCCAAATTTCCCCTGATATCCACTCCAAGCTCCAAAGTCATGTATATTCCCTACTTTTATCCATTCTGTAACAGGAGAAGTTAAAATGTCCCCATTCCCAGTTCCATCAGGCAAAAAGGCCCTTGTTCACGTGGTGCAAATGATCAAGCCATAGTTTCACATTATTCTACAAAATCTTAAAACTGTTCGCTACTGGCTAAGGTCAGTCTACTTAAGAACTATCTGGATGGGGTATCAGAAGTAAGGCTGATTGAAAATGTGCTCTTGGCTCCAGGCATGAATCCCACTGAAATCATGTCTTTCTTCTCATTCCCAGAATTCATATTATTTCTCTGCAGAAGTTATGCCTTGGAATCCAAAGTTTTTGCCAGCTGTTCACTTTGTTTCCTTGGGCAAAAAACACGTAACTTCTTAACCCTGTCACTTTTGTAGGTTGAAAAGTGGGTTTTGTGGATTTAAACTGTCTGGCAAGGAGTTGTGATGACAAAAGAGGCAGACAGATTCTGAGCACACAACTAATGTGCAGAAAGAAATTATACATAAATATAAATCCGTGCCTTTAAAAAAGTATGAAATGTTGAGATTGGAAAAGCCAGTGAGCCTACTCCTCCCAGTTGCCTATGCTCTTCCCTGACATTGAGGTGCAGCGGGTAGAACACTGACCGAGAGAGTCTTGCCTCTACCCCCCAACTGGCTCTGTGACCTTGGGGGATTAATTTAACCTCTTTGGCCTCAGTTTCTTCATCTGTACAGCAAGAGTTTGGCTGAGATGAGTGATTCTCAAGTTGTGTTTTGCTGAGTTTGAGGTAAGCTTCAAATCAGTCCGAAGGGTGACGTGAAGTCAAAGGTTCTATTGGTACATCAGTCAAAATGTGCTGCCCCCAAACTGAACACAGCAATTCATATGCAGTGTGTGCAGGGCACATGGCAGCAAGCCTATCTTCTGTCCCCATTCTGAACCCTCAAAATCCATGCTGAAGTTGTGTTCTCTCTCTTAGCTGCCACATCATGTGGTTGATTCCTAGGAAGTTTGTAGGGTATAGGTGTGTGACATGGTGGATGCCACAGATGTTGGATGCCCCAAGGCAGTAACCTTAGGGTCAAGAAGACCTGAGTCCAAGGTTTGGCTCTGGCACAGACTGACCCTGTGACCCTGGACAACTGTCCAAGACTTTAAGTTGCAGCACAAAGACTAGGTTGCCTGACCCAAGAGTTCGATACATTGGTGAAATCATAGGACAGACCAAAAAAAAAAAACAAAAAAAAAAAACAAAAAACTAATCCCAGGCATTTTGTTTTATATATATTTTTTTGCACACTGTTTTGCCAAGTCTCGCCAGGCTATACTTGATTTTTTGGACCCAAACCTGGGACTTGACATTTCTCCCTGTTAAATTTCATCTCATTATATCTAACCCATTGTTCCAGCCTATTGTGATCTTTTTGGATTCTGATTCAAAGTATTAATGACTAAGACTTTGATAACGGAGCCCATATCCAAGAACCTTATTTGAATTCAACAAGACCGGCCCCCAAGCCTTCCAGCTAAACCAGACCTGCCCAAGTATGTGCTTTCCAGATGGGGATTTGGGGAAACAGGCCATTCCCCTGCCTCGATGAGACACCCATCAGAGTGGATGAGTGATGAGGAAAGTTCACATTTCTATAATGTTTACGGAGATAAAGCCATTGCTTTCGTGGTAGTACAAGTGTTGTTAATCTCATTTTTCAGGGGAGGAAACTGAGGTGGAGAGAGATTTACATGATTTGTCCTGGGTCACATAGCTAGCAAGGGATGGGCAGGATTTGGATTCAATTCTTTCTGCCTTCAAGGCCATTATCCCCCAATCCCTGGTTCCACTTAAGCCCAGGCCAATGAAGGCAAGCATCCCCCCTCTCTTCCTGCTCCCAGGTGACAGCTTTCTCTCCTTTCCTCTCAGGACTGTAACAGAGCTGGCACCCCATGCCTAAGCATCCAGTGCAACCTGAGCACGCTGGCCAAAGAGGAGAGCCGCAGCATTGACCTTTACGTGCTCCTGAACACAGAGATATTGAAGAAGGTGAGGAATCCAGCTCCAAACCCTCGAAGTTCACTGAACCGTTTTCCCATTAGGTTTGGGTTCCAGATCAATCTGGCCATGGACAAGAATGTATTAAGGGACAGACTCTGTCCTCGGTGCTGGGGAAACAAAGAGAAATTAAACAGTCCCTGTCCAGCCTTACCTATTACTCCTCTGAATAGCCCTGGTCTTGGCAAGGCCCACAGAAAGTCAACGACAGGGTTAGATACACTGGTGGCAATACTATCATGGCCCTTTGGCCCTACCTTTCCAGGCTGAATGCGCATCCTGTTTCTCACTATGTTCCAGCCAAATCAATCTACTGGCTGTTCCCTATATACGATATTTCATCTCCTGTTCTACATTGTTCTCTTTGCCTGGTATACACACTCTCCTCGCTCCCTTAGACACCCTAGCTTCCTTTAGGATTCATCTCAGGTATCATCTCCTGCATGAAGCCTTTCTTGATCCCTCTCAAATTGTGAGGGCCCTGCAACCTGAAGTTATTTTCTATTTACTTATCTGTATACGTGCCCTTTGCCTCACTAGAATAAACTCCTGGAGCTCAGGAATAGCTGGGATTTTTTCTTTGCATTGCTACCACTTAGCACAGTGCCCAGTGCAGAGAGACTTTTATATCTTGAACCTAAAGCCACTTTAAAAATATATTCAGTTTTCTTTTATCTTTCATCTATAACTTCTGTCCTTCTGACTTCCCGCTCTCCCCACTGAGAAAGCAAGAAAAACAACCCGTTACAAATATGCATAATTTAATTTCTTTATTAGCTATGGCCAAAAAGAATATACTTCAATCTGCCCTCTGAGTTCATTACTTCTTTGTCTGTCTGGATGTGGGTAGCATGTTCAACATTAGGTGAATTTAGAATCGTGGTTGGTTATTATATTGATCGGAGTTCTTAACTCCTTCGAAGTTATTTTTCTTTAGAATATTATTGTTACTACATACATTGCTCTTCTGGTTCTGTTCAGCTCATTTTGCATCAGTTCATAAAAGTCTGCTCAGATTTTTTGGAACCACCTCCTTCTTTTCTTATGGCACAATAGTATTTCATCACAAGCATATGCCATAACTTGTTCAGCCATTCCCTTGATGGGCATTTTCTCATTTCTCTCATTTTTCCCTTCTCTGCTGCTACAGAAAGGTGACTGTCATAGCTATCTTTGTATGTATGGGTTCTTTTCTTCTTTCTTTGATCTTTCTGGGATGTAGACCTAGTAGCAGTATTGCTGGATCAAAAGGTATGTATAGTTTAATAGCTTTTGGGGCATCATTCCAAATTGCTTTTCAGAATGTTTAGACTAGTTCACAGCTCCACCAAGAGTGAATTAAAGTTTTTGTCTTCCCATAACCCTTCCGGCATTTTTCATTTTCCTTTTTTTATCAATCTGATGGGTATGAGGTAGTACCTCAATTATTTTAATTCACATTTCTCTCATTTTTAGGGATTTAGAGTTTTTTGTGACTGTAGATAGTTTGGATTTCTTTCTCTGAAAACTGCCTATTCCTATGAGTGTTGCCTAGTTATCAGTTGGGGAATGGCTCTTATTCTTATAATTTTGAATCAGTTCCCTATATATCTTTTTAAAATTTATTTTTCCCTCCACATCTTAGAAATGAGATTTTTTTTCAGAGAAATGCTACAAAGATTTTCTCCTAATTTCCTTCTTCTCTTCTAATTCTAGTTGCATTTGTTTTGTTTGTGCAAAAATGTTATGTAATCAAATTTTTTGTAATCAGAACTGTTCTTTTTATCCCCTGTGAACTTTTCTACTTTTTGTTTGGTCATAAACTCTTCCCTTATCCATAGATCTGACAGGTAACTTCTTCTGTGCGTCTCTAATTTGTGTATGTTGATCCCCTTTATGTCAAAATCACGTACCTATTTGGAATTTGTCTTGGTATATTGTATGAATGTTGATCTATACCTAGTTTCTGCCCAATCGCTTTCCAGTTTTCCCAACAGTTTTTGTTGAGTGGTGAGCTCTTGCCCCAGTAGCTAAGGTCTTGGAGTTTATCAAACACTAGGCAACTGTGCCCATTTACTTGCTGTTCCTGACGTGTTCTACTAATCAATCTCAGTATTTCTTATCTTGTATCAAATTACTTTAGTGATTGTGGGTTTTTTTAGTGTAGTTTCAGATCTGGTACTCTCATGCCCCATTCCTTCCCACTTTTAAAAAATTAATTTCCTTGATATTCTTAACCTTTTATTCCTCTGGATGAATTTTGTTATTTTTTTCCCCTAGCTCTCTAAAGTAATACTTTGGCAGTTTGATTAGTGTGGCACTGAATAAGTAAATTAATTTAGATAGTATTGTCATTTTTATTCTATTGGCTCAGTATTTTGTGCTGTCTATAGTTATTTTACATGGAATTTCTGTTGCTTCTGGCTAGATTTTGTTGGTAATATACAGAAATGTGGATGATTTATGTGGGTTTGTTTTATAGCCTACAACTTGGCTGTAGTACTTAAGTGTTTCAGTTAGTTTTTTAGTTAACTCTCTATGTTGTCTAAGTAAACCATCATATTAGCTGCAAAAAGAGATTATTTTCTCCCTCTTCCCCTATGCTTAATCCCTCAGTTTCTGTGAAAACACAACCAGGTTAGAATTTTTTCATAAAGTGGTTAATGTATCAGTGATTACGTTGACATGACCAGCTGCAGGAACATTTCCCGTTATGATGCACATCCTCCATTTTGATTCAGGAAGAAAATGGTTTGGGTAAATATTATGATGGCAAATTTAATGACTCTGCATGAGAGGATTTGGTGGTACTTTGGGCATAGAGAAATTAGGGTGGATAGAAAATAGTTAAACAGCAGAGGAGATGGTTCAAGTTAGAAGTGGAGATGGTGCTTTGGACACTGGACTGGGGGATGAGACCTTCACCCTGCCTGACCCCCAGTTGACTGCTGTGTCTGCAGTCCTCTCCTGCCTGACGGCTGCTGAGACAAACAAGGCAACTCTGGACTGGGCTGGACTCAACCCTGGAGACCTTGAATTGTCTGATGCATCTTGGGCTGGGAGCCAGGGCATTGCACTGTTTAATTACCAAGAGGAGAATCTGACCCTAGGTAAAGTGAGGCTCACCCTCTGTGGAGTGTCACTATTCTATCTTCATTTAAAAATAAGCTAGGAGATTCATAGATTGAAAGCTGGATGAAACCTCAGAAGCTCGTCTAACCCCTCATTGGACAGGTGAGGAAAATGAGGCCCGGAGGGGTTCAGTGATTAAGCGGGCAGAGCCAAGGTTTGAACCCAATGCCTCTGCTCTAAACCCAGCACCGCCTCCAGATGCCTTCTGGACAGCCCAAGGATCCTCAGATTGTGTTCCTGTTTGATTTTACAAGGACAAACCTGGGTTGTAGCAGGGCTTCCCAGAGCCATACATATGGATTATGGCACCTGGAGCAGATTCACTTGAGGACAGGGCATTCACCGAGGACAGTCTGAGTCATTGGGTGGAGGCACACTGGGCAACCTTGGACGTGGGTGGAGATGGGGAACAAGTCGGGGGAGGCACCTGGGAAGGTGGAACAGCCCCGAGGACTTTGGAGCCCCAGGTGGGTCGTGTCATTGCTCTATTTAGAGCTGGAAGGGGTCCTTTCATCCAATTGTCTCTTCACAGATGAGTTAATTGAGACCTAGAAAGATTGACTTGCCAAAGGTCACATGAGTAACAAGAGTCCCAATGGATAATTCCCTCAGTGCTCTCTCTCTCTCTCGCTCTCTCTCCTCTCTGTCCCCTCTGTCCCCTGTCTCTCCTCTCTCTCTGTCATTCTTTTTCACTCTCCTTTTCCCTTCTCTCCTCTCTCTCAATCTCTCTCTCTCTCTCCCCCCTTTCCTTCCTTCTCCTCTCTCTCTCATTCTCTCTCTTCTTTTCCTTTCTCTCTCTTCTCTCTCTCAATCTCTCTCTCCCCCTCTCTCCCTCT